TCAGCTGTCCCAGCTGTGCCCCCTCCCAGCTTCTTGTGCACCTCCAGCCTCCTCGCTGGAGGGGTGGGGTGAAAAGCAGAAAAGGCCTTGACGCTGTGTCAGCACTGCTCAGCAGTAATGAAAACATCCCTGTATTATCCACACTGTTTCCAGCACAAATCCAAAACATAGCCCCATACTAGCTTCCATGAAGAAAATTAGCTCCACCCCAGCCAAAACCAGCACACTAGTTTTGACTAGGTTGAACATTACTAAATGCTTTACAGACTTGTTTTTAAAAATAAATTAATTCATGTAAGTGTAACTTTGGTATTACAGTGTGCATGTTTGAAGTTTTTGTTAAAATAGCAGCAAACAGTATCCTAGCAATTTTGCTTGTTGAACTGTTTATTTTTTTCAGGGCATTTGCTGTATAAAGTTAAATGATCAATACACATTAACCCATAAAATGTATGTAAATATATAATCCTATATAAAAACTAAGAGGATAATCCCCTACCTTTTTTTTTTCCTCTGTTTTTTTGTTTGTTTGTTTGGGATTTTTTTAGGTCTTAATTAAATTATGCCATCTTACTGGTAATATGGAGACACCTGTGCTGCAGCTTGATATTGTAGGGTTAGGCACTGAGCTTAAATTAAGAACATTTGACATGACTGCAAATGCTTTCCTTCGTGAAGTTTGTCTGATGTGCCCAGAGTATATGGGTAAGTATTTATAGTCTGATCAAAAAATTATTCACAAATAACACTGTGATTGTCTTCAAAAAGCCTGTAGGGCTTTCTTTTGTCAGCTGAGGAAGATTTGCTTCCTAAATTTAATGCAGGGGGTGGAAGGGAAAAGTAATTCAGGAGCTCATTCTCTTAGTAATGCTTTGGTAAATATGTTCTAGTGCTGATGATTTTAGTAGAGACATCTAACTATTGTAGGTCTGCAGAAGAGGTTTTGTGATTAAAAAATAATGACAGATAGTAGCCTAGTTTGTAGTCTATAGATGATTAAAAGAGTTGTAGAAAACTTGTCAATTTTTTTCTTGAATAAAAAAGTAATCTTTTTTATTCTTTTGGGTTTTTTTAAGATGATAATGACAAGCCAGTTTACATAATTACTACTTTGGATAATGTAGAAGATGATCTTCTCACTCTGGAGTACATAAAGGTGAGAAAAGAGCAGACTTTGCTTTTGAATTGTAAGCCAATCATAAACAGTACAGTATTATTGAGCAATTGTTGAAGGTTTTTCGTTAATTACTCATTCCTTAACATATTGAATGTCACATGCGAAGTCTCTGCTCCCTAAACAGATTAACTTGTATGTCTTAAGTTGTAGTGTTTTTTGAAATAAATTCTCTCTAATGAAATCTGCGAACTTCTCCTGGTTTGTTTGTTTTACATGCACTTCTGGTGGAATAGGCTGATATTCATGGACCAGAACTGAAAACTGCCTATCAGAATGTTCTCCAGAAAATAAAGGTATGATATCTTTTTTTAACATAATTTTGTCATTGTGGGAAGAGAGGGATATTGGATAAACATAATTTGTTCTTTTAGGTGAACTTTTCATCTCTAGATGTTCATTTGCATACTGAAGCTCTGCTGAATGCTATGAACTATTTGAATAATCTTCTACCCAAACAAGAAACTAAAGTTGCAGAAGAACTGGTCCATGAAAAAATAGAGGAGAAGAAGGATGTTCTTAAGAAATTAAGTAAGTTTCTTTATTCTTTCTTTTTTTTTTCCTCTTTTCATTCATCTCTCTTCAATTCCTTAAGCAAGGAAGAAAACAGACATATTTTCTATTTTTGTAAGCCTGTCAATGACTTTTGAAATGAGAAATTTTGTTTAGGGTATATTTACTTATCCACTTCACAGCCTTTTTTAATTTCAGTGGTAATAAGAATGTTAGCCATCAGAATACTATGGAGTAGCAAGGGTATACTCTTATTCCCTGGCTGGAAGTGTGTAGGTGAGGAATAACTGTGTAATTAATGAGGCAAGGTAGATGCTGCAGCTGTTGACTTTTCCTGAGGTAGAAATACTAAGCATTTTTTTTGAAGATATGTGTTCAAATTCACTTAGTTATGATAATCTGCGTTGAATGGTAGCTTACTGGCAGTGATTATGTTCCTAATGGTTTTCTCCCATATAATGAGAAAAGTATTTTTGCATTACAGCATTTATGTGGAGAAGGTCCTTATAAAAAGTAAGGAAATAAAATAACTTTATGGGTTAGAAAATTTAGCATGAAGGTTAAAACTTTCTGTGATGTGTATTAAATATATTCTAGACACTTTTGTGCTTTCCAAATAATAGCATAATTACCATTTTTCTCTAACTCCTCAGTGAAATGACTTTGTACACTATCTTTCTTCCCATTATCAAAATATTTTTGTTGGTTTAGGTTTGCAACCTGCAGATAGGTACTCATTTAGCAGTTTATTGATGTGTAGGCATTGGCTGCAGACATCAGTACAAAATATACACTACTGCGTTTCATAAGCTCCAGGACAGCTTTGGTTACTAGTGATCTACTGATTTGCTGAATGGCTAAATTCTGTTTGGCACCAATTTTGTAGGAATAATTTGTTGGAATTGCTGTTTTGGGTTTATGAACTGGCACATGGATTTGGATTTACCTTGAAGTGTAATAAATAGGAAGTCCTTGCTTGGTGGAAGATGGCTTGAGCATTTTCAATCTTTTGTTACAAGAAGCTGGTAATAGCATTCATTAATATCAGTTACTGTGGTTTTAGGGACACATAAATAGAATATGAATTCCTGCAATTTGAGAGAAATCTGGTGAACCTCCTCATGTTTATCAAAGGTACCTGGTACTTTGTAGGTATCTGGTTTCTATGTATAAATTTAGTGTTCCTAGCTTTTCTTGGCCTGCAGAAGCATTAGCACTCTTGTGTCCTGAAAGGGGTGCAGGCCAGTCAGTTATCCAACAATATTAGTCTGAAGGAGTTATTCTGCTCTAATAAGGTTAGTCTCATCTCTTTCCATGTG